ATCTTAGCCGTTAAAATGAGAAAATAAATGAATCAGATCGGTTTTAAAGTGAAAAATTTGGTGCTCATAGTGTAAATATTAGAAAATTCGGTGCCAAAGGTGTAAATGATAAATGTGCATGACTATGGAGAAAAAATGCATTGGAGTAACACAAAAGTGCATCACTTTTTGAGGAGAAAATCAACAAATAAAGAAATCGTTTGTGTTATTTTTTTAGGAGGTGAACATGCACTCTTACATATGACATATGCACTTTTACTATTATGTATTACACGTTTTGGTTTACCATGAGTTTTGATCTATTCCATCCATTTCTAAGTAATCAAGGACTTAGATCACTTCTCATTTTTCATGGGAAGACCTCTTTGTATTAGATCTCAACCCTATATATATATATATATATACTCCCTCCGTCCCGTAAATAAGTTTCTAGTTTGACCTACACACATATTTATGTAAGGTAGAGTTTTGTTTTGACTTTCCAAGTATACCTTTACTTTATGTCAAATCAAACAAAAAGTGGCTAAAAAGTAAGGGTAGTTGTGACTTTTTGGTTAAAAGTTGTTTCCTTTTATAGAAATGAGAACTTCTTTTTGGGACATCCATAAAAGGAAAGTGAGAACTTCTTTGCGGGACGGAGGTAGTGTGTGTGTGTGTGTGTGTGTGTGTGTGTGTGTGTGTGTGTGTGTGTGTATATATATATATATATATATATATATATATATATAGCGAGAGAGAGAGAGAGTAATCAAAGCTAAAACCTATATATATATATATATATATATATATATATTTTGGTTCAAATAAGAACATGATCTTAGGAGAGAAATGAGAATAAATCTGGACTGTTAGATTTGCTTTAAGTGAAATTCAATGTGCATTAGATGAAACTGTAATGTGCATTAGGTGAAATTGAAATGTGCAACAGAAAGGATACGATGCACTGATATTATGTGAAGCTGAATTATGCATTACGTGAAATTGAAATGTGCACTAGGTGAAATTGAAATGTGCAGAATAAAAGGTAAGATGTGATGTTATTTTTGTACATTTTATTCCGCACATTTCAGTTTCACCTAATGCATACTTGAGTTTAAATTTTTATTATGCACATTTCAATATCATGTAATGCACATTTCAGTTTCACCAAATGCACATTTCCGTTCCACATAATACAATCCAACGGTCCAGATTCGTTATAATTTCTCTCATGGGAGTTCCTTCTTACCGGAACCGCTCCATATATATATATATATATATATATATATATATATATATATATATATATATATATAGAGAGAGAGAGAGAGAGAGAGAGAGAGAGATGGCAGATCATATCAAGCCGGCTTGACGGGAACCGCCGTCAAGGGGAGGCCATTTGAAGACCTTCCCGGTGGAATTTTTTGATAAATTTTTTTAGCATGTTCCTCATCAAGTCTAGTTTATCCATACAAAATTTAAGCTAAAAATTCAATCAGGAAGTCAGACAAAACAATTCTGTACAAAAACTATGCTTTATGTATATATAAACAGCGCAGTTTGTTTCAACAATTTATTTGACTGCCTTCCTTATTGAATTTTTAGCTGAAATATGGTATGGATAAACTAGACTTGATGTAGAACATGCTCAGAAAATTTCATCAAAAAAATCTACCGGGAAAGCCCCCAAAAGCTCTCTTCCGGACGGCGAGTCTTGTCAGGCCGACCTGATAGGATCGCTTCTCTCTCTCTCTCTCTCTCTGATATATATATATATATATATATATATATATATATATATATATATATATATATATATATATATATATATATATATATATATATCTGATTTATTGATTTTAAATCTTTTTGATAGTACACCAATGGAACAATTTTTTTGGACCGTCCCAAAAAATAGTTCAAATTTCCCATTTTGGAAAGTTTTATTTGGCTCACATTATGAAAAAAATAGTTCACAATGCGGGAACTATGGGACAGAGGGAGTATAAAACTATAGTGGACTTTCACAAATTTTGATTGAGAACATTTTTTAGTAAGAATCAGAACTCTTACGTGCAACCCACACCTCAGACTACTCATCCTTCCAAACACATAATAACCGTAAGACCTCTCAGTCCCTGATCAGACTTAGAACGGTCTACTCATGCTTGAACAATACCTTTTGTTGAACATGCAAGACATTTGACGTAACTATCAGCATTAAAAGTCACAATACACCCCCCAAACCAACAAATGTAACAATTCACACAAAAACCAACCACTAATCTCGAGATTGAAAAAAAATGCAACATAGAAAGAGTTAACATTGAAATGAATGGAACAATAAATAGTAAGATAAATTTTTCTATGTTTTCTCCCGCCATTCTCCGCTACATCCAGGTTGAAAATTCATCTTCCAAAACCCAATACTTCATTCACTCTAGCGGTGGTTCGGGAAGAGGATGAGTCATCAGTGCCCCGTTTTGAACTTGAATCCCTCTATCATAGTTTGGGAAGAATTCTCAATCATCCCTCACCTTTTCTTTTACTGTTATAGCCATTCGTACGTCTATGTCAAATCTTTCATGTTAATTTACTCAAAAATCCTTATAGCCATTCACACATGACATATTTGATCTTGTTAATTAATCATTCTCCCAAGTCTCAACTTGTTTGTACATTTATATCGAACCGAATAAAAAACAGTCATCACTCATCAAACATGCATTACCAATAAATGGAAGATGCCGCAAATGCAAACGTAATGCCGACTCATGTAATCATATACCAACGTTTCAAATGGGTAAATTTGTTGTTAGAACTTCTTTTCAATAAACTACTTATTTCTCTGGGCCTGAAGGGTGCTTCTGACTATGTCATGCCTAATACCACAAAACACATCTCAATTTTTTGAATGAAATGTAAATGTATATAACATCCAAAAAATGTAACATATTACATATTTACATGTATTAGAAGAGTTTACTAAATTATAAATGGAAATTGCAGGTACTTACTTCTGAGAAGTGAAAACTGTGAACACCATTCTTATTGGAAGAAAAGAGATTTAACTGGTTCAGACAAATGACATTCCCTCCAAAATCCACAAACAAAACAACCTTAAAGGAGTAAAGGTTGTTTTCCCATATTCATTTAACTAGAAAAAACTTAAAATTTTAAAAACAAATTTATCAAATCCAAACTGCTGCTCAAGGCAAATCCAATAAAAACCAAGCTCTAGTGCACCCAATTTTTTCAGTTTGCACAAATACCATCCTAAAGTAATACAATTAATCTTGTCTTTGCACATACAAACATACAAACCCTTCTATTTGCTCATTTTTTTTTGCACTATATTTCCAAAACTTTGTGCGTTTTTAAGCACACTTTAAACAAATGTGATCCGCCACGTGCGTACAGGTACAAAAAAATCATGGAAACCTTTTTTTTTTTTTTTGAAATAATGCCAAATTTGTTTCTATAAATTATGATTATTTTTACAGATTTGAAATTGCGACGATGCCAGCCAGCCTATGTAATTGCGCGTAGATTTCAATGATTGTTTTAGAAAATTTTGTTACAAAATGCATTTAATAGAGCAATTTTTCTAAAAGCATATTTTTAGTCATCTACGTGAGTTTCAATCCATCAAAAAGAGTACGACCCTCTAAAGTCTAAACTTGACCAATTCTTAAAGGGAACCTTCTTAAAGATCCTCCTACAATCTAAAAATTGTAATATCAAATATATACGGCTAGAATACGAATGTAAACTAATAGGGGAGTATACGGTTAAAACAAAAATGGTGGATAGAAGTGTGAATGTTTATGTGGATTTTTCATGATCGGAACCGTCGTTAGTCTGCGCAAATTTGGGGTGCTTTCGGGTGGATTTTTTTATGAAATTTTATAGGAATGTTCTTTATGAATTATAAATTATATAGATCAAATTTCACGTTAAAATTTAGTCGCGAAGTCAGAAAAATAAATTATTGAACCATACTGCGCCAAAATTTATATAAAAATGCAGCGTTTTACAATAATTAATTTGATTGACTTTCTGATTGAATTTTAAAGTAAAAGTGAGTAGAAATAATATGCACTTCATGAAGAATATCCGCACAAGATTTCATCAAAAATTTCCACTCGAAATCACCTCAAATGGATCGGATGCAGCTATTACGAATAAGAGGCCTGACAGGAACATTTCTCTTTGTATTGGATATTACATTATTACTTCGGGTTCCATATGAGAAGATATTTCTAGTTTATCCGCCTAGTTTGTCTTTATATATGGTTAAGGTTTTTCGAATTTTCTTATATATATATATATATATATATATATATATATATATATATATATCTTAGTAGGGAATGATTTATTTATGTATGAGTAGTTATATGTTAATACACATGTAGCTCTAGTATAGACTTCATTAGAATATTATAAGGAGTAACTAAATTAAAGTGACTCATACTAAAATTGATTGATACTACCTCTGTCCCTCTAACAAAAGCGTGTGAGTGTGTGGTGCGTTTAAAAAAATGAAATTGTGTGATTGATATTGAATTGATAAAGTGTAAATAAAGTAAAAATGGATTGTAACCACACAAATATTATCAAATACGACATGATGCAAATTTAATGCGACGGACGAAAATGGTACAACAGGGCAAAGTTAGGGGGTGGAGGGAGTATATAATTTTAAATTTATACATAGTAGTATTTTATATTATGAAGAAAACCTCGAGAATAAACAAATCAATATGTAGTAATACTAATCACCTTTTTTAAAGTTAAAGATATGATTATTTTTTTTTTGAATGAAGTTAAAGATTGATGAAATGTGAGATAACTTAACAAGGAAATTAAAGCAGGTAACGTTTTTGTTCGTTTGAAAAAAGCAGGTAAACTTTAGTAAGACAGGAAAGTTAAATAATTTAGAAACACAATTATACGGAGTAATATAAAATTCAAATGTAAATTTATTTCACTTATAAATATTAAAAATCAGTGCTACTCATATATATCCATCATCCAGTATATTTCTGTTCCCTTCGCTTTTTGCATCGAAATTCATATTCTTTCCAGCTAGTATGGGTCCATTGCTGGATTTTCTTGGCCACTTTCTTCTTCTTCTTACCTTAGTACTACAAGTATGGAGCTATCATCCATATGCAGAAATGGTGTCTTCAATTAGCCACACTGCTTGTAATCGGTATGAAGGAAAGTGGGTGAGTGATAATGAGTACCCACTTTTTTCTTCCAGTGATTATTTTTTCGTTCCACCCAATCGGAAGTGTGCGGACAGAAAAGATACAAACTACCTCCATTATAGGTGGCAGCCCAATAACTGTGAACTCGCCAAGTAAGTTTGCACGTTCTAAAACTCGTATTTCGAGCAATTTCTAATTAAAAAATAAGTCAATATCATTTCGTTCAATTTTATTTACATTTTTCAATGAATTTTCTTTGCACTCTCTTTTTTTTTGGCTTTGTGGTAATTGGATTCGACGTCTCTGCCTTGCTTTGATGGCAAAGTAGGGTGCCTGACGTACTTTTTTCAAAAAACCCGATAAAAAAATCAAACGGGGGGTCTACTTTTGTCACCGATCTCGAGGCGCCATCCTTGGCTTCCGACCATGCATCCCCGGGGCAAGGCACTTTGTCTCGCGCCTTATACTAACAATTAGTATTAATAATTACCATATTGCACTGATGATAACAACAATGAATGGATTAATGAAGGGAGCTGGTTTTGGTGGGACAGGTTTGATGCAAAGAATTTTGTGAAAACGTATAAAGGGAAAATGGTGATGTTTGTGGGAGACTCCATAGCACAGAACCAATGGATGTCAATGGCAAGCTTGATTCAGAATGCGTATGGTCCTGAATCCATTTGGATCAGCACCACCAATCCCCCAATTTTCTCTTTGTATTTCAAACAATACGATCTCACTCTTGCTTTCGAGCAGAATAGGTATTTGGCTCTTTTGGAGGGCCAGGTTCTAAAGCTCGACAATATCTCATCTAATAGCATCGCATGGTGGCAGAATGCCTCTCTATTGGTGTTCAACTGTTATCACTGGTTTACACACCCCAAACTTGAGTAAGTTATTAGTCATACTTTAATTGCAAATATTATACACACTCTTTAATAATATTTGCGTCCGCTTTTATCTCTGGTTGATGTTTGAAGCATCAAAGTCTCCCGTGATATATGAATGTAAAATATGTGCAAAAGTTCTTGTGACTCAAAAAACACGTTAACCATATAATTATTCATGCATATCATCATCATCATCACCCCAGTGTCGCAAAGGCTCCCACCTACGGTGGGGTAAGGGGAGTCGTATGCACGCACTTTTATCCCTTTACAAAATCACAGAAACACTGTTCGCGAATGACCCATAGTGAAAATCGTGTCGAAAATTACATGGACTGGCCGTTACAAAGAAGCACAGACAGTTTAGTGAGTCGTTTTGCTTTATTCCATCATGTTAAAGTACTTGTCCCACATCGAAAAGCTATAAAACAATAAAACACTATATAAGACTCTGGGCTACTCATTCTATGAGGATGAAACTTCGGGTCTTAGGATGTTTTTACTTTGGACTGTAATTCGTCCCAGATCAGACCAGACCAGACCAGTTCAGACCAAACTAGACCATACTTGGATAGTTATAAAAATACAAAGAAACCAGACCAGACCAACCCAGACCAGTTCAAACCAGACCAGACCAAACCAGATCAGACCAAACCAGACGAGCAAATTACAGTCCAAGTAAAAACATCGTTAACATGGTATCGAAGCCAACTCCGGTTGTGGTTTGACCGCTTGTTTAGCACTCATGATTAAGGGTAGCTTGTTAAGGGTTTGTTTAGCCCATTTGTACACCCTGATATTGTCCATCCCTGTTTTTCCACATCGGAAAGCTATAAAATAATAAAGCACTATATAAAGCTTTGGGCTACTCCTCACGTCAAGTTGATCTTTTAGGATGAAACCTCGAGTCTTAACACAACATATTCCCAAGCCAAAAAATAGTTAGTCTTTGGCTCCATTGCAAATGCTTTAGTCATGCATATGAGCACGGCAAATTGTAAGGTATGAACTAATGTGCATCGATATGAAAACCGCACGTCTTTACAAAAACACGTTAATCCATATGAACTAATTAAGAGCACAACCTTATGTATGAACTAATTGTGGATGATTGATTGATCATATTATTCTGTCATAGATGGGCTTCTGTTGAAGTCAATGGTACGATTGATACAGAAATGGAACCCATGGGCGTATTCACTAAAGCTTTACAACATTGGGGTGAAGTGGTTGATAATGAAATCGATCCCACAAAGACAAGGGTGTTTTTCCAAGGGATAACTGCTGTGCATCCGGATTGCAACAAGTACAGAATGCCCATAAATGAATCATCTTTGGCTAGTCAAATGAATCCCTATACAACAGGGGAAGAAATAATAGAGTATGAGCTGAGCCAAATGAAGAGTGAAGTTACTTTTCTGAACATTACGCTATTGACTCGGTTACGCCCGGACTCCCATCCGGAGTTGATGGAAAAAGGAGTCCGGGATTGCAGCCATTGGTGTGTTGCCGGAGTTCCTGATACTTGGAATCAACTCATGTATGCTGAACTCTTCCCAAACTAGCTACCTACCCGGCTGGCCACCTTCTCATGATGATGATGATCTATTTCTTATTTCCATATATATGGAGTATAAAAGAATCAATCGATCAATTTGGAAATTTAATTATTTAAGTATCTTTCTTCTATACTCAAAGCACAAATTTAAGAACATGATCTTAGGCCATGTTCAAGTTATTCAATTCTATCTTGTAATGTATTTTTGGCCCGTATATAATGGGTCGAAATAAACATTTTATGTTACCGTTTTTTTATCATACACTATAAGAAGTCAGAAGATATGAAATCTTTACAGGATATTAATAGCTAATGGATGCGATTCCAATGAGAATAATGCTTGTCATGAGAACAATCACTCTTATCCAAATGTTCATAATGGAGCACGTTTATTGCATTTTATTTTAACTTTGACCAAATCAAGTCAATATCAAATGAACGCGGTAACATTTTGGTAAATAATGTGGCAACGTAAAAACGTGCAAAAGACGAGCTTCATTGTGCATCGGATAAAAGTGCTAGCTAGATTGTTCTCACATTCCACGATAAGCATTAATCTTATTTGATTCGAAATCTATTAATGACAAGTATTTTATCATTGCTTCTGTTATTTTAGGTTTAACGTATCAAATATACAGATGACAGATTTATTATAATGGCGCCACAAAAATAGAGCTCTGATGTAAGTTCATTATCTCTTTAGTATGTTAATAACAAGTTGAAATATCTATGAACTCTTACGTAAATAAATGTATTCTCGACTCTATCCGAGATTAATTCAAGTTATGTACCAAATTGTTGCTCTTGTGTCGCCAATAGTGGTAGTTGTGCTCTTTACTGAATTTTACACCCCATTTCGTTATCTTTGCTTCATTTTTTATAAATTAAACCGTTTTTATTTTTCATATTATACGGAGTATTTCATAATATTTGTATGATCTAACAATACGCATACTTTATAAGTTGTTTTATATGTGATTTAATATTTGTATGATCTAAAAATACGCATACTTTATATGTGATTTCAAATTCGTTAATAACTTGTTTTACTCTGCATGTCCCAAAGATTAGGTATATACTAATTACTCTAAAAATTGTGCCCTTACTTAACCATGAACATGTCTGACCATTTTACTAAATTATTACTTGGCATGGAGCAAAAAAACTGTTTTACGAGAATGGAAATCAATGAATTTATAGCAACTGTTTTAGGTGGATCCATTACGAATAAAGTTTTATTTTGCAAAAAGAAAAATAAGAAGGGTTAGAACCCATAATTGCAAACAGAGAATAACACTAAAAAGGGTTACATGTGAGGAAAACATGACCACTGTACTTAACACCAAGAGACTGTCCAAGTAAATCACTATGTTGCTTGAAATTATATAACAAGATGAAGTTTATGGAATGTTTCACACTTAAGTGAACAGAACTGTAATGAACACTTCACTTCGCCTCATTTGGGTTGATAAACTCCGATGAAAGGCATCAGCACCGAGCCAATCCACAACTTCCCCTCCTCTTTCTCCTCCACTTCACTTATGAACTTCAAAGTCTTGCCTTCAATGTCCTCTAACACCTCCACGACTTTCCCGTCTTCCCCGAGCTTCATTGCAGACGCATGGGGCTTCCCTACCAGTAAGTAGTGCAGTTGCTTAAAGCTCAATGGAAGCTTTAACATTGTTCTCCCAATCAACGGATAGGACACGAACAGATCAGCGAGGAGTCCTCTTTTTGAATGTAAAGCGACCCAGAATTCTCCTCTTGAATTCCTCCTTATGTTGTCTGGAAATCCCGGCACAACAGCAAAGACGTCGTGCTTTCCAGCATTGGCTCCTTTAATCCAGTATCTCAACACCTTACCTGTAGTGGTCTCATCTACAAGCACAAAAGATCCGTTTTTGCTCAATGCTACCCCATTGGCAAAAGCAATGCCTTCCATTAGAACTGTCACTTCTTTGCTTGTTCTATTGTATTTCATCAGCCTTCCTGTCCTGTCTCCACTTAAGGTCGATGTCATAAATTGCCTGCACATTATAAATTATGAAATCATAAATCCATTTCTGAATGCATATGGTAAGCTAGTCTCATACCAGTCATAGTATAAAAATACAACCTAACTCAGCTTTTGGTCACTCCTACAAGTTGGACAATGATAGGACCTCAACTATTTAAATCTTAATAATGCCTATTAAAGTCAAAGTAGTAACAGATCCAACTAAGGCTAAAAAAGAGTACCCAATTTAATTTGTTTGGTCAAACAAGTCACATATTGTGGATTATGTTAAAGAATCACATACCATTATAGGATCCTGTCATCCTTATATAAAAATAAAAAGCCACATAGAAATACTTCCGTTACTTATATCAGGTTGACTTTTATGATGAAAACTATAACTCTTAAATCTACGAAAATCACAAACAATAAAACGAACCCGTGTACAATGAAGTTCGAAAAGGGAGCAAAGAACTTACCTGCGCTGAAACTTTGTGCTTGTATCAGTGAAGTAAATGACATCCTCATCCTCATCTATGTCCATATCATTGGTAAAGAGAAGAGCTTGGCCATCAACTTCTTTAACCAGTGGAGTGGATAGTCCTCCAGTAGGCCCAACGACATTAAGGCCCAAGTAAGCATCAGCAATGTATAGGTCTCCAGATTTCTTATCAAACCTTAAGCCCAGTGGCCTCCCACATATGTGCTCTAGTTCAGGAGCGAAGGGGAGCACACAATCCTTCCTGGTGGTAATAGAAGTCATTTTTCCATTTTCAAAGAAATGAAAAACATAAAATCATTAATAGTACTAAAATTGATATAGACTTATTTTCACTATGAGATTAATTTAAAAACAAACATAGTCGTCATGGCGTATGGCAACAGTCATGATGCAAAGGCATTTCCCCGTGACGATGGCAATCGTTATTTACAGTTTAGGCACATGACACAAAAATAACTACTAAAAATATGAACTATAGACAATATAAATAAATAAATCTATAACTCAACCATAAAACTATTGAGCCAAAAGGCTGATTAACCACATTTTAACCAACATATGTCAAGTTAAAACAGTTTAAAGTAGTTCCTTAAAAAACTAAAATAATCTTCCAAAATATGTTATCAACTTATCATCATTATCACGCTCCTTTAGTGGTTTCCTATCGGTCGTAACCTTTTAGGCCATGCTCATCTCTGAGAGAAACATTAATTGGGCAGCATTCTCTAGCTTCAGTTCTATGTTAGCTAGCTGGCCTCAATTTATTTTGGTTATTACGTCAACCCAAAATGTGGAATCATCCACTCTAGGCACCCCCACGCCACGATCCGACAAAATGGTGGAGTAGTAAATCTCAGTATGATCTTAAACAATTTCGGAGTGAGGTGGTTCAAGGCACACAAGGAGTACCACATTGGTTATTATGATCTTTATAATTTTATTTATACTATGTCATTATGGGTCGGCTGCCTGGTTCATTAATAATTGGGTAATTCTATTTGCAGTCATCAAATTACTATTTATAGCCACCAACTTAAATATTACAAATCATGATATTTAAAATACCCACCCATCCCACGATGTTGGCAAAAAAAAACGAATTTGCACATTCAGTACTAAAGTGCATTTTTTAATAGACTCAAATATCACTCTGCAATTAATATGCTCCCATCATTGATTTTTTCATAACAATAATTTTTCTACACTTTCCAATATCATATTTATATTCGTTGATTGAAAGTGTAATTAATAGATTTAGAGTGTGATTACACAAATGTGGTTTATATATAAGTATTACTTCTTGTTAGATTTTGTAAAAAGTATATCTTCATATTTTATACATTAATTATATATTCTTTAGATGAATAACGTTTATTAGACTATTAGTTTAGGTTAAAATTTTTAGATATCATTTTGATAATTAAATTGGAGGATGCAAATATGTCAAATAACAAATTGGGGCTTGAATAGAATTACCCTTAAACCCTTAATAATCAGGGCCAAATCCCAACAAAAATTAAATAAACATGTTCGAATATTGAACATTATTTCTTTATTATAATAAATTTAATATTACAATAAAAAAAATAATATTAAATAAATGGTACTCCGTATAAATGACATGATTAGTCACCTTTTTGGATAACTCAAAAGAAGTTTATTTTAACTCTAACTCAAACTATTGCTCTTCTGAACTTGAACAATCACTAAGTCATACTTCGTATAATATATAAATTCTTTGAAAGAATTTAAATTATCAATTGCATTCCGTGCAAACTACAAGGTGAATTTTGTAGTAAATAATCGGAGTAATGGTCATACTAAAAAGTCAAAGTGCTTTTTCGAGTGGTGTAAAAAAAGAGAAAAGAGTTCACCTTTGAGAAGAGGTTACTGCGAAGTCGACCCAACGGCCACCACTTCCACCCGCTTCAGCTTCCCACTTGAGAATCCGACCGTCAGCGACGCCGGTGTAGGGCCCATCTCCGTTCGGGTCAAATGCAATGCTCTCCGGCCCAAGGGAGCCGCCGACGGGAAGAACATCGGCCGTGTGGAAGAGATTTTGGGAGCCCGGGATGGTGGGCGGGGTAAACACGTCCCTTAACCGGAAAGCCAAGAAGATGGAGAGCGCCGCTAGCGCGGTGGCGGTTCTGATGAACCTAGACTGACTCATTTTGAACTTAGCTCCCGACAAGTTTATATACGGAGTAGTTTTTCCCCTTTTCTTGTTGTTGATTCTTAAGAAATGAAATTAAAGGGGTGTACTTATCGGATTATACAAAGAAAATTACTCACTTTAGGACTAAAAGTCTAAAATATACGGAGTAGCATTTTTCTTAAACTATGATTATATGTTTGATTTTCCTTAAGTAGGACTAAATATTACATATTTATCTCTAATTTAATTAATTGATATAAATAATTATCCCTGCTTCCCTTACATAACCAAAGCTATTTTGTTGGTTGTGGATCAGTCTGGTGATGAGAGTGGGAAACTCCAGTGATTGAGGCAGACATGCAGATCGGTAGCGGTGGTCTAGGAAAAAATTCAAACAATCAGCAATGGCAGTCCGCATTTAAAAGTTTATGAATTTTTTGAAAGTCAATAAACTTATCTATGAATTTAAAAGTCCATAGAATTCATTCATAAAAATGTCTATGGATGTGAAATTCCGGATGAGAAAAATGACCATGATTATTAAGTTGTTGTCAAAGAGTTAATGGTGCACGGGCCTTGTGGGGTTCTGAACAAATCTTCGCCGTGTATGGAGAATGGTCACTGCACGAAACACTTTCCGAAGAAATTTGTGAGACGTACTACAATTGATGGAAGTGGATTTCCCATTTACAGAAGAAGAGACAATGGAAGGAGTGTAATGAAGAATGAGACTCTTCTTGACAATAGATTTGTCATCCCTCATAACCGTACATTACTGCTCAAATATGGGGCTCACATTAATGTTGAGTGGTGTAATCAAACCCGCGCAGTGAAATACCTCTTCAAGTACATTAATAAGGGTAATGATCGGATCACAGTAGCATTCTCTGAGGCATCCGACAATCGTAAGGCAGAAAAGGTTGATGAGATCAAAATGTATTACGATTGTAGATATATCTCTGCATGTGAAGCGGCTTGGAGAATCTTTGGATTCCACATTCATTATAGGGACGTCGCAGTTGAACGTCTAAGCTTTCATCTTTCTGGGCAACATAGTGTGTACTATAATCCTAAAGAGTCTGTCAGTTCTGTTCTTAGACGTCCTACTATCCACACTACTAAGTTTCTAGCTTGGATGCATGCAAACAGTGTGTATCCTCAAGCTAGGAGCTTGACTTATGCTGAATTTCCTACCAAGTTCACGTGGAAAACCAAAACAAGAGAGTGGGTACCAAGACAAAGAAGCACCGCAATCGGAAGACTATACTTCATGCGACCTGGAGCCGGAGAGAAATATTATTTAAGGATGCTCCTTGGTGTCGTGAAGGGGGCCAGGAGTTTTGAAGAACTCAGAACAGTTGATGGAGTCATACACTCGACGTTCAGAGAAGCTTGCTCTGCACGTAGTATGTTAAATGACGATAAAGACTATATAGATGGACTTATAGAACAAAGTCATTGGGCAACAGCGCATGAACTTCGCGTCACATTTGTTCATCTTTTACTACAAGAGTCATTATCTATGCCCAGTATGGTTTGGGAGAAGTGTTGGCCATATCTATCTGATGATATACTCTACACTATTAGGAAGAATCTCAATGATCAAGGTATGTTTATTATTTAATGACATTCCTAAAATTTAGATAAATTTAATAAATGTCAATATTAAGAGTGATGTAGATTTACAATATGCAAGATATTTTTATGGATAATCCTTCAAGAATACCATCTTGAATTACCTTAATTAATGTCCAACTAAATCATTCATGATTATCCTTCATCTTACGAAAAATTTACTCTTATGTCATAGATAATTTTTAAATATGAAGTACTTCTCTTAAAAAGTGTTCAAAAATAGTTCAATATATATAATTTAATAAACTATTTTTTAGATAGTAGTTGGTTTAATAATTTGTTTCCACAACATCATATTTAAAGATGTGTTGTTTGTTTATGATACACACAAATTTAATTATTTAAGCATTTAGAAATTTAAAAAATATTCTAATTACTTCTTAAATTTATTAATATTAAAATTGCACTAACCATTATGTTTTTTACAGAACTGCAGTTTGATGAGAAGCAAATAAAGAATTATTGTTTGTTGGAAGTTGAAAAACTTCTACAACATCGTGGAAAGTCTCTATTCTACTATGACGGAATGCCTCGAGTGACGGATCTTGACATTCCCTCTCTGGATGATGTTTTGATACACGAGGAATTGAGATATGACAGACTTGCTTTGGCGGAGGAACATGGTAAATTAATTTCCGCCTTGACGGAGGATCAAAGGCGTGTTTATGAGACAATAGTGAGTTCTGTAGAGGCCAACCGTGGCGGTGTGTTCTTCTTATATGGGCACGGCGGTACAGGGAAAACATATCTGTGGAAGACCTTATCAGCATATATAAGGCATCAAGGAAATATTGTGTTGAACGTAGCTTCAAGTGCGATCGCATCATTGCTCCTTCCAGGTGGAAGAACGGCACATTCCAGGTTCGCTTTTTTGGTTTAAAACTTATAATTCCAAATAAATACTAACAAAATGAATTGTAACTTCTAGGTTTAAAATCCCACTCACAGCAGCAGAAGATTCAACTTGCAACATAAAGCCAGGAAGTGCACTTGCGAAGCTAATTCAAATGACGAAATTGATTATTTGGGACGAGGCACCCATGATTAATAAGTACTGCTATGAAGCTCTTGATCGAACCATGCGGGATATTCTTCGACATTCATACGGTTGTGATGGGAGCAAACCTTTTGGTGGAAAGACAATTGTCTTTGGCGGAGACTTTAGACAGATTTTACCGGTAATTCCAAAGGGTAGCAGGCAAGAAATTGTGTTGGCGACTTTAAACTCATCCTTCATTTGGCCCTTTTGCAAGGTACTAAGGCTAACGAAGAACATGAGAGTGCGAAGTGGATCAGACGATGTTAACTCTGCATACATAAAAAGGTTCATTGATTGGATTTTAAAGATAGGGGACGGAATTCTAGGTGACAATGAGGATGGAGAATCATATATTGACATACCTGAAGAATTCCTCGTGCCTTGGATTTCTGATCCAGTTACTTCTATTGTCCAGAGTACATATCCCAATTTCTTAGCACAATGCACATCACCATCATATTTAATGTCAAGAGCAATACTTGCGCCAACAGTTGACGAGGTGGACAAGGTTAATGATTACATGCTCGCACAACTACCATCAGAGATGAAGACATATTTCAGCTCCGATTCTGCATCATTATCTGATTCTGATAGTAGTTTGTTGCAAGAGATCCATTCTCCAGAATTCCTTAATGGAATCAAATGTTCCGGAGTACCTAGCCATGAGCTCAAATTAAAAGTGGGTGCCCCTGTGATGCTTATGAGGAATCTTGATCAATCATTGGGTTTGTGTAATGGCACTCGACTTTTAGTGACCCGACTTGGAAAGCATGTTATTGAGGCCCAAATGTTGTCAGGGCCAACTGCCGGCCAAAAACATTTCATTCCCCGTCTTACCTTGACTCCTTCTGATGTCAGACTGCCATTCACCTTTCAGCGCAGACAATTCCCTCTGATGGTTAGTTATGCTATGACTATAAATAAGAGTCAGGGCCAGTCATTGGAAAATGTGGGGATATTCTTACGGCGACCGGTTTTCACCCATGGGCAGCTTTATGTTGCTGTATCAAGAGTCACGAGTCCAGCTGGTTTGAAGTTTTTGATATGTGACGATAATGGTAGACCGACAAACTCCACATTAAATGTTGTGTACAAAGAGGTCTTTACCAATTTGTAATATTACTTTTTGTCTTGAATAAAATTGAGAGCTTTTTATTTCAAATCAAAAGACAAATCTTATGCATTTGTTTAGGAAATTAGTTAAATTAGTATAAAATAATATAAATTAATGTTTTGGACCATGCATGCTGGGTGGGGGAATATATTAATATCAAATAAATTAAAATGAACTTTTCACTCCCGTGCAACGCACGGGTTAAAATACTAGTTCATTCATAAAAATGTCTATGGATGTGAAAGTCCGTTGACTTATTCAAAAGTCCATAGATTAAAAAAGGTCCACCACAATTGACTTATACAATTGTGAATTGTAACTTGTAAGGCATAAATTACATCAAATGACATTATCACTTTTCCTAAATCTCTATATATATACGGAGTATGTGGTAAAAAAAATTACACGGCGACCAAAAGTGGAGAATTTATTCAAAATGCAATCATTAGTTTACCCTTCTTTAATTTTGTCAATTTTTATTTTCTATGAATTGACAAATTTTATTTTGATGTATTATCATAAAAAATTTGTTACATTTTTCTAAAGTAATTAACTTTTACTCCGTATTTATCACTATTTTGCACAAATCTTAATTTGATTTGGAGTCTGTTTGGTAACAACGAAATCAGCTGATTTCGCTGAAATTTATGAAATTTAAATGGCTAGGTTAACTAATTCTGCTAATGAAGATATTACATTTAAAATATATTTTATTAGTAAAATAAGTAAAAAATTACATGAAAATACCTAAAATGGACCTCTACAGTAACATCAGTCAATAACGTTGAAAATAAAAAGTTATGTATTTGATGAAAAAGTTGGCTAATATGTCTGATTAGCGAAAAATAGTATCACCAAACAGACCATTAGTTTCAGTATGAAATCAAATTAAACCATAAAAGTTTAAATAAAGTAGACCGGTTAGACAAGATTAGAAAATTTATGACCAATTAAAAACATTTTTTTATTTTGGCGGAAAGAGTACGTATTTGTTATATTCATTCACGATTGGGATCAATATTTTGAGTGGTCAAATTTATTTTATAGATATGAGATCCATTGGTAATACTGAAATTGATTGAATTACATAAATCTACAAAAATTGTTCTAATTTTGGCCGCATGGGCTGTTGGAAAAAGTGTGTTAAAAGTGCATTAAATGGTCATTTTGAGGCAATTATTTGAGTGGGGTCCACTTCCGATTTGGGTCGGGTCAAAGTGGTTTCGGATTGTCCTTGCTAAGGGCTACAATTCGATATATGGTACACTCAAAACGGATAACGGGTGAATGAGAAATTGTTTTTCGAAGTTTACCCGTTGGAATGGAGAAAACTAGGAAAATGTGGGTTTTAGTGTGGGTTCTTTCTCACACCGAAAATCACAAGGGAATTTGAACCATTTATAAAGGGAAGCTCCCCCTAAGGAGTTAAGATTCCTAAAGGGAAAGACTATCTCACGCGCGCAGGGGGGTGTGAATCAAATCCCGAAACCGAAGAACAAAAACCGCGACTTGCGTGTGCGGGCGACCTGCTCACACGAATGCCATCCGAAAATCTATCTTCTAAAGATAACGTTAATTTTTGTTCTTCCGGTACGTTCCTACTTTAATTTTTGCTCCATGCACATAAATGTCCAACGTCTATATGCTGCCATTGATGTCCCAACGTTCATATGAACGTTTTGGGTTGTTTAAGGACTGGAATCAATGCCCAACGTTTAGGACATTGATGTCCAACGATCATAACCCTTAAACAGCCATTAACACACCTTAATCCACCCCTATAAAAGGTTAGTAGGTGCTTTGCAAAGAGACAACCTTTCATACACTTCGTTCACGTATTTTCATATCCTGGGAAACGATCGTTGCAACGCTCCTAGCACCCCGGGAGGCAACGAATACGTTTTAAGGAAATCGTGCGTAGCACGAGCTTTGACTTATTCTGCTTCATCTCATTTCTTGTTTTTTCTTTAAGTCATTTTATTTAATTAATCTTTATTAATTAATTTTCTTTGTTTTTCGAAACACACCCAACATGGGCTGAATGAGACGAATTTTTTGAATTATGAAAAATAGTATTTAAAATATATTTTATTAATAAAATAAAGAAAAAATTATATGATAAATGGTTAAAATAGTGCTCTACGGTAACTTTAGCAATTTTACCCAGAAAAATAACATCAATTTTTTATTATTACACTGTTCATTGCACGAAATCAAATGGTAGAAATACATTCCCCAACTTTAATTTAACAGTCTCAAAATTCATTTTGGGCTGTTATATGATAAATTATCAATACCGGTAATTGAGCCTCGTTTGACCATCCGGTCAACCATATGCCTTTTCTATGGCTAAACTAGAATATCCACCACCATATACGAAGTACATATTATCTAGACCAAGATGAATATAATATGCGGTCCATGAAATATCAGGCAGTCCCCGTTCCTGTCGTGGATCCCACGTGCAATTTACTATTCACGTAAAAGTAATAACAAAAATTTACAACTCGTAAATTCATTTACCATTTCATAAGTTTCAATACATTATTTACATAAAAGTAAAATACTTGGGGACGATGTTACATATTTAGTAGTCCTTCTGTCCTAGTTAACCTTCTCACTTGTCTTTTGGAGATATCTCATCTTAACTTAAGTTTCTCATTTCTATTTTAGAAAAATAATTAAAACTCTTAAATGATAAATTAACCATCAAATATAAAAGCAATAAACTTATAACACCATTGTTATCATCAATAACTTCATTATATTATGTTATATACCTATCAAAATTACTTCAGAAAATGTACTTGAATTACTTTATTTGATTATTGTCCAAATAATTTTGTGACTATTCTATGAGAAACTTAAGCCCGTACGGAGGTATAAATATTTATATAACTCTAAGGGGGTGTTTGAAACCGATTCTGCTTCTGCTTCTTTTTTAAAGTAGAAGCAGGATGAGAATTAGTTTTCAGAAGTTGATCTCCCCCGGCTTTTCAGAAGCACCAAAAGTACTTCTGCACTTTCACCCAAACACTCCAACTTCTTCTTATGCTTCCTGAAGGAGCAGAAACAGTTTTGAAAATCAGATCCAAACACCCCCTAAATTCCTATTTTATCAATTGAACACCTATCACATGAATCATAGATACTTTTTACGTTATTATTATGTTATATATATATATATATATATATATATATATATATATATATATATATATATATTCTTTTGTAATATTACTAAACTAGGTATTCTCATTATTGAGTTAGATAATTATTTGGTGAGATCCAAATACTAATCTAAATTATTCGAAAATATTTTGAAGCTATAATCTACAAAATATTATATTGTTTGACAAAAAAGAATTATATCACACCTCAGCGCTTAAGATCATCATCATGTGGGAGATTTTGAGTTCAAGTGAGATGAATTTGGAAGAATTTGGTCAAGTCCCTAATGACGTATGTTCGAGACAATTTCTCAAAATGATGATCCTCTAATCTCTCATACTAAATTGGGTGATCACACAATTAGAACTTGACGTTGTTTTGGTCAATTGGTAACACTTCGAATTTATTTATCGTAGGGGTTTGGGTGGTGGACCTAGGGGGCATGGGGGCAAGCGCCCCGGTCCCAAAAATCACTAGTAGTACTTAGGTTATAGATCATTGCCTCCGCTACTAATAATTCAATTGAATAGTATTAGTCCTCAATTGAATGTTTAAACTCAAATACCGTCAAAACTGCTAGAAAGAAATATTATTGTGTTCAATAAGAATAATACATTACTATTGAAGCCTTCTTGTCCAATTAATATTATTTTGATCTCAGTTGTTATATAGAATCATTTTAAATGAAATTGTTTCAAATTATATTTCTATAAATACAATAAAAATGAGATTATTAATCGTTTCGTGGTAACTTTTACACCTTGCATCCTTAAATGATGTCGTCATTTCAATTTATTATGCATAATTAAGTGAGTATAAAATTAATATATTAAGTAGTATAAATAATTGAATCTTACGTATTTAGAAATTATATGAAAGTAATACTG